TCGCATGGTTGGATTCTAAAGCCATCAAAAGAATCATTTTGTGATTTACTGCTACAATTAATAATTGTCCCAGTAAATGCCCAAACCCTACAGAACTGGTGCCTTCAGAGAGCACACTACAACATTATTAAAATGTCTGCAGCTTGCCTCATGCATGGAAATGACCTGGACACTATACTTTATGTTTTATTCACTGATGAATACTACATGTGTGGAGATGTCTTCATCTCTGTCTTAGTATTTGCCTTTATTATCTGACTGTTGTGCTCTTCAAGGAGACTGGTAGAATGGCAGAAGTGTGAAGACGTGAGGAAGAATCTCTTTTTAACGCAAAAACGCCTTTGGTGCTTTTGAGAACAACCTCAGTGTGCAGTGATAGATGAATTTTGTACTGCCTGCCAATCGGGGAATTTTGATCTTCTTGCAGGACAATCCTATAGTCACGTTATCTACAACATTTCTGTCCATCTTTTCATCCGTTATCAGAAAACTGCTTTTTCTGGTAAGGCTCCCAGCAACCTGGAAGATGCACCCTTACTGTATAGATCTTACGGGCCCTGTTTTTATTCCCCAAAGGCAGATTGAAAGGGAGAACTCAGACACACATGGCACCGGAAGTGGCATCACAAGAGGAACATGACACCAGGGCCGATGTGTGGAGCGCCACCTGCACCCTTCTCCACATGATGAACGCCAGGCACCCCTGGATCAAAGAATATAACCATCTGCCCTCTCTGGATATCGTGGTGAGGGCCTTGTTTGAAACCATCAGGCCTGGACATCCAAGGCCGCTGTTCTGTTCAAATCGTTGCTTCAGTTTTATTAATCTCCTGTGGAGCGCTGAACTCCTAAAGCCCTGGTATTTTCTACTGGAAATGTCTAAATATAACTGTCAGAGTTCAAATATCTTTTAAACGCAATTTACTGTCTTAATGTACTGTATTCATACCAGATTGCAAAACACAGCCCGCCGTTGTTTGAAATCCCCAAAGGCTGCCATGACGACGCAAGGAGGCTCATCGAAAGAGGCCTCACAGTGAATCCTCAGAAACGTCCACAGGCAGCAGCTCTGCGCGATGAGGTCCACGACGTCCTGCTGAACCGTAAGGAAGAATTAGTGAAGCCTTCTCTCACACTCCAAAGTAGAGGTGTCCAATCCTGCTCTTCTAGGGATGGGGGAGCAGGTTTATCATTTGAATTCTGCTCGTAATGGCCTCATTAGTGGCTTAATTGGAATCATTTAACAGCTTCTTTCAACTCTTCAGGTGCTGGATTTAGGTTTCATTCTTAGCCTTGTTATTGTCTTAATTGCGGACAATTTACAGGCTTGTATTTTTCTTCCAGTGGGATATCCGTCACCCTCTTGCTTTGAAAATAACATAAAAAAGCTGCAATCCAGCCCCCCAGAGAGCTTCGGCCCCCCACCCTCTGAGTCTACAACTGAGCCCTCTTTCACCCTGAACACACCTCCTCCATTGCCTCACCCTCCAGAGGGAGAAGAAAAAAAGGTAACGAAGGAGTGAATTGTTTAAAAATCTGTCTTCATCTGAGAACTTTAATTCTTGGAACTACAGACTCCAAGTGCCAAGATAAGAATACTTTTGCACCACTGGTTTTCGTGTTAAAATCACAACAGATGACGATGACTCATTGACATTTTGCCTTTAGCATTAATCAAAGCTGATACAGTGGTGCAGAGGTTAGCATGGCTTCCTCACAGCGCAAGACCCTTGGGTTCAATTCCAGACCTGGAGTGCTATCTGCATGGAGTTTGCTGATGTGGGTTTTCTCCGGGTGCTCTGGTTTCATCCTACAGTCCATTTAAAATTGGTTTCTGGGAAAATTAGGCCCTGTTGTGAGTGTGTGTGTCCTGTGACGGACTGGTGTCTCATCCAGGGTGTATTCCAACTTGTGCCTGTTGCTTACTGCAACCCTGAATGAGATACAGCAGTTACAAAATGGATGGATTAATAAATCAAAGCTCACAAATTTTATTTTAGGAGATTGATGACCTTTTCCTAATTTGTTATCTATTTAAATTGGGAATGTAAGAACTAGGTCATCCATGATGTTCTTTTTATAGTAAGGAAATTGCATTTTACCATATTTTCCATGCAAAAATCAAGGTTCAACTGACACTTGACCCATTGTTTTACACTTTACATCCTCTAGAGAAAAAAGCAGGTACAGTCAAGATATTGGTATCACCTAACATTGAAAGCACTATATCAAGTTTCAAATTGTATTGGTTCAACAAAGTCATTTCTTACTACTTGAATTTTATTTTTATCAGAAGTCTTAAAATAACATTTCAATTCTTCAGCATAAATGTGAAAGATCTTGGAAAAAAATCCCAGAATAAAAAAAGAAATTACATTTTCAGGAGATACTGGTTTACTGACATGCAGTATAATGGAAGCTGCTTACATTTCACTTCTATAACTCATCGGGCACATACATAATATAATATACATTATGAATTGTGAGCAGATAAGATTTTCAATTGTTTAAGTAAAATTGCCCCTTAGGATAACAGAACATGAAGCTCAGGTCATATGAATTCATAAAAATGTCAGAAGCTCAGCGTTTGGTATTTGAGTTAAGATTGCCAAGAAGATCTGATTAAGGACATGTCTAAATACCTGTTCAAAAAATGACATTTTGAGAAGAGAGTTTAATTAATGGAAGAACAGCAGAAGATATGACCATGCCCCAGCTGAGTAATGATCGTCTGGATGCTACTGGCATGATTGAAGATGGTCTGTCTGTGAGAGAAGTTGACCGGAAAATGAGATGTTCTGCTCCAACGACCAGCAAACAAATCCAGACAGAGCAGGAAGCTGGCTTAGTGAGAGACAGGCCACATCCTGATAGGCAGAGGGTCATGACACTGTCCCAAGACCCTCGCTTCTACCAGAATCCTCTACATAAGGTTTCAGGGTGCAGTGTCTAAAGCATGGGAAATTCCAGGAGGAAATGACAAGCACATTATTAGAATGTCTGTAGCTTGCCTTCTGCATGAAAATGAGCTGTACACTAAGGTTCATGTTTTATTCACTGATGAATGCTACATGTGTGGAGATGTCTTTATCCGTCTTAGTATTTGCCTTTATAATCTGACTGTTGTGTTCTTCAAGGCAATTAGTAAAATGGCAGAGGTGTGAAGATGTGAGGAGGAATCTCTTTTAACACAAGAACGCCTTTGGTGTACATTGAAAACATCCTTTTGTGTGGACTTTGTGTTCTACTGCCTGCCTATTGGGGAGTTTTGATCTATTTGGAGGACAGTGGCATAATCACATTATGTACAATATTTCCATCCATCTTTCCATCTGTTATCAGAAAACTTATTTTTCTGGTAAGGCTCCCAGTAACCTTGGGGCAGAAGGTGAGACCAGATGCTGGAAGGGGTGCCATTCCATTGCAGGGCTTGCCAGCATGCCTTCAGGATGCTACAGTATGTGAGAAAACTCACATAGACTTCAGGAGCATAGAAACTCCATGCCAGTTCAGATCTGTGAGGCAACAGCTAACCACCAAGCTGCTCTGCTGCCTGTTTTCAATATTTAAGAATAATAAAGCCTTGTACACCAATATCTTTTTTTTTCTAAACTGCCATGTTCTTCTACAGCTTGTAAAAGCCTTTAAACAACATTCTGGAAGTGCAGGAAGTTTACTTGTAATCCCATATCACTTTGTAATTGCAGGAGCCAAAGCATGTTTCGAATGTATATAAAACATCGATGTGGGATGCCAAACCTCTGGAATGTGGCGTGACCAGAATGAGAAAAGAAAGCGAAAAGGAGAATTCGGAGATTATCAAGGGTGAGATCTAGCTCGCTCCCACTAAACAGTACTGAAGTGATGCAGGAAGGCCTGTTTTGTTCATTGGAAGTTTGCAAATTCTTCCATTTCACCATTTACATATTCACCCTACCAAAATGCTGGTGATGGAAATAGAGAAGTGTACAGTATATGTTCTTATATCTCCCTTTCTGATGGAAATGTCTCACGTATACCGTAGTTCCTCACAGTTCGATACTGTGTTCATGCACACCTTTCTATTGTTCACACAGCCAGCGCGAGAACATCAATCACCAGAACGAAACAGTGGTCAAAGTACTGCCTGCTTACATTAATAATGCATCACGTTTAGTCAGGTTAAGACAGAGAAGTATTTTAAGGGTCACTAGTGCAGTGCCTGTGTTCATCCAATTCAATAGCCCTCCTGAAGCACTGTCAATAATAGTCAACACTTCTATCCCTTGTCCCGGCGGTGCCGTTTGGTGCTGTAGTGATCTACACCATAGGCCACCAGCGGCCTTCAGGCGTAGTGACATTCAATCAGTGCAGGCCAGAGCTTCGATTGATCTAATGACCTACAAGGGAAAAGCTTCACATTCCATTATCAATGCATTCAAGCAAATGTGAAGCTGCAATTCAGACACAACCAGTTAGAATGGCTTCATCACCACGTAACTTGTCACAGATTTATATGCTCACAGAAAAACCACTCTGATTGATCCTTCCCCAAGCTGCTCATGTTTTTAATATCTAGCTTTGCACATTCCTATTTCATCAAAGAAACACCCGGGTTTTGGCTGCTCAGGGTTTCAATGGTTATTTCTTCCTTTTTCCTTCCCTTTTCCTCTTTTGCATAAGCCTTTCACCGTGACAGACTGTCCACCTGCAACTCAGAGGACTTGGAAGAATGGCTGGAGATGGTGGAAACGGCCGAGACCTGGCTGGATGATGATGTTATGGTCAGTGCCAGAAGGTGGAACGGATTTAAAACAGCTGGGTTCACTGAGCACTGGAACATTGCTACTGTATACAAATGTATTTATTTGTGTGTGTACTAACAACACTCACAAATGCGGGATCTCATATCCTCTGTGCTTCTGCTACATGAGATTCTGATGCCATGCAAAGAGAGGGATAGAAAATTCACAATTTAATCAACCCTGTCTCATATTAAATCTAAAAACAAAATACATTGTTAACTCAGACACACTTTTGAATACATACTGTATATTACTGGTCCTAGCAGATATGCTTTTAACATTTGGATATTTGGTCATCTTAAAATATAGGTGTTTTCTAGAATGTTGTGGAGACCTGGAGTGACAAGGTGGGCGCAATGGTTAGCATTGCAGTCCCGTAGATCTGAGGCCCTGGGTTCAATTCCTAGGGTGCTATCTGCATGGAGCTTGTACAGTATGTTCTCCCTGTGTTTGTATGGTCTTCCTCCCACAGTCCAGAGACCTACTGGTAGGCTAACTGGCATCTAGGATATTGGTGTGATTGTACATGTTAGTGTCTGTGTGCACACAGACAGGCATCCTGTCCAAAGCGTATCCTGCCTTGCACCTGTTGCTTGCTGTGGTAGGCACTGGCTCCCCTGTGACACTGAATTGGATAAAACAGTTAGAAAATGGATGGATGGAGTAACTGGATCTAACCAACACTATACATCAGAGTACCGCATAACCAAAGACATTCTCTATGAACCCTTCTGTCAGTGAATTTACATTTTTTATTTGGTATACAATCACCTTCCAATCACAATGAGACCTAGGAAGCAAATAGCAAAGAAAACATATTGCTTAGAAAGCAGGTGCCTCTCTAGATATTATTATTCATATGCAACAGCATGAATAATGACAATTTGAGAAATAAGCATCAATTATCTCAAAGTTATTTTTATTAAACACTATTTTCTATAAATCTATGCTCAGATTTAAATCTGATTATAAAACGATAATTTGTAACAAAAGATTTAACAGTCACATTATTCATCTCCTACAGTATTACCTTTTGTTTTATTTCCAGGTTCCAACAGATACATCCTGACTGCTCTGTGAGGAGAGGGGTTTTCACAGACTGTATACAACGCAGTTCAGTTTCATTACTCCCATATTGCTCTTATTAGTAATGGACAACTATCATGCTTTATCATGCTAAAGTGCAGCTGGTTGTGACAATTATGTTGCAAATTCAAATGTTTTTTTTTGCTGTGTGTTTAGGAATTCCTTACTACTACAGCTCAAAAATGTCCAATAGGAAAATTACTGAGAAAGCTTTAAATGACCATTTGCATTCACACGTTACTCATGAAGTGAAACTCAACCTGTGCTTTTCAGTTTGATTGCTGTGTGTTATTCTACAGTAAGTGTTCACCATTTGGAGAGTTAGTGGCCTCAACATATAATGAGATCGGAAACAAAAACAAATTCTGTTATTCTGTGCCAAGCTATGCAATATTATTTCCTATTTTATTCTACATTCTGTTCTGTCCAGGATAAAGATGATGTTTCTACAGAGAAAAGGTTTAATCTACCAGAAGAGGTGCACTGTACTGATGTTGTAAAATATTGGTACATTTTTTATAACAATTATAGAAAGTAGTTCCTTTACAAAATGAAAAATAAATGTTCATGTTCTTGGTGATTTCATGAGACAGTTTGTTGATTTTATTGATCTGCTGGTTTGGTTGGTTGATCTTGTAGGTTTTTTTTACTGATTTCTTTATCACTGTCATGGGCCTGATTCTCTAGAGGTTCTTAGACATTGATGTAAGATATGAGTTAACACTATCCCATAATAAGTGGTCTTGACTAAAGTGAATTCCCCTTCTTAAGGCATACACTTAGCAGTGAAAAGGCATAACAAAACAAACATTACCTTAAAGTACATGTCAAATATCAGCACAACAATGTATATCTGAACGTAAAGCACTTCTAAAAAATCATTTAATACTTCAGGACAGCTGACTATAAAGAAAGTGTGAGGACGTAAAGGAGAGAAAGCAGTTGGAAGCAATTGTGTTTTGAAGCGTAAAACATACTACAAAACACAAATGATTTTCATTGATTCTGAGATTCTTAAACATCCACCAAGTTAATGTGCCATGAAATGCATTATTTATAGAATATGAGCTGAACATTATGAGAGAAAGCACAAACATTTGTTGCTGTGCAATCGTACCTTTAAGGCCACTGAAGAAATTATTTTAATTATTGAACTTTCACACCAGGCAGAGAAGCCTGAAAATGAAACACCTGAAGGTACCGTATTTGTGCTCAGTCTAAAAGGTTCCTGCTTTGTCCTGAAATTTCTGGGTAATTGCTGCCTCTCTGATTCGAAGGCTTTTTTCTTTCTGTTCTTTGAAAATGGTGCTTTCTCTGTTAACAAGAAGTTCCTCCATCACGAGCTAAAAACACCTGACACGAAAGGTTTTCCATCCAAAAGACATATACTGCATAACATCTGCTTCCTATTGGTCTTACGTAGCACAAAATTTAAACCACGGTTAGCGTGGTGTGCCGAACACTGTATGCATATTAGTGCTATCTTACCATATTATTTGAATATAACACAAAGCATTTTGCATATTCAGAAGATACTAATAGACCCTTTGTCTTATTTTGAAGGCAAATCATTTTTAAATAACTATTTCATTTTACACAACTCAAGGTCATTCTGAACATCTACTGTAAATTGTACATTGGCAATTAAATTACTTAGTAATTAATAGTAATTTAGCCCCATACTTTCCTTTACAGTCTGTCTTTAGCACAAGCCTATTTCACTTCCCAAACCTCTGAACAAGGGCTTGTGCTATATTACATTTTTTTTAAATCATAAGATCCAGTAACAATACAATCCCAGGTTACTCAACCCTTTTCTATCCCTTTAACTAAGACTGCAAATTTCCCTTCAATAATAATTCTAAACAAATAATGCCAAATGTTTTATGCTTTTCTGTTGTTGTTTGCCCAGGGGTTTACAATATTGTGACTGGACATGATTTTGAAATTTAACAATGGGCTATAAAATTGGAGGTTTGCAATTAATTTCACTTCAAGAGTAAGTCCTTCGTTGCTGGTTTGATCTGTAATAAGTTCAACCGAAGAAAGACTTTACCGCACCAGGTTCTTCAACAGATTACAATGGGAGGACTCCAAAACATGCTTGGATCATAGCATTAGAATGTAAAGTTCACTTTGAAGCAAAGGCATTCAGACTGGATGAAAAATGTTAGTAAAAATGAAACCAGTAAAAATAAGAACATGCCAAACACTATTCTTGCACAAATGCAACCAAAGAAGTCAGAAATTACCTTTGTATAAATCTGCTACTCCACATTCTACTCCACTCAGAAGTAACTGACATTCTTTCAAAGAAATCCTTGGTCTCCTTTAAAATATCAGAGCTATAGATGGTACAGTTGGCATTCACTCATGGGATCACATGCTCATTACTTATGTGTGCACAAAAACAAGCATTGAAAAAGTATTAGAGTATTAGTGTACAGCAACACGTTTATGAGATATTGGTATTTGTGTGCCTTTTATAACTGTGATTCAACTCCGATATTGGTCGCTTTAAACTTAGGCTTTGCTTTTAATAATTGAACATTATCTTTCCATAATGCAATAATCAGAATCAGCTGAATCTGCATATCATGTATATCATCCTGGAGGATCTTGAACTGCTTTAAATATAGAGACTCTATATGTCTCTATAACTGAAGAGAGAGGTGATAAAAGAGACCAATTTTATCAGCTACTGAAGGTCAGTGCTACTCAGGGTGATGCAGAGAAACCAATGTGCACAAGCAACAGGAAATATAGGGATTCCAAGTTGTGTAAGTCCAGAGTCGAGTTTAGCCAGGTCACACCCTTTTCAGGCAGTGCCACAGAATTTTTAATGACTAAGCAGGCGGGAGATTGCTTTAATGTCTCAGTCAAAAGATGGCACCTGTTATAGCAGAGTGTCCCCTCACATATGGGGTACAGGTTATGGAATTTCTGTGCCAGAGAAGAGCACTTCCTGACCTGTCACCACTACCGAGAGCAGCAACCTGGAGTCTGCCTTGGAGGTCTCCCATCACATCCCAGCGCTGACCCGTGCCTATGGTCTTGTGGAGCGTCCGAGACATGACGAGATCAGGCTAGGCTTTGGTGTTGTTGCTGCTGTTCTGTGTTGAAGTTTTGGTGTTTCGCTCATTTCTCTGCATTGAAGCATACCTGCAAATAAGCATTTCATTGCACTTGTGCATAGGACAAATAAACCAAACTGAGCTGTTGAGGGTTTTTTTCGTTATCAAAAACAAATTAAGATGCAGTGGAGCTAATGAATTAGCGTTTTTTTCTTTTTAAATTCTATGCCACAATGCAATTTGTCCTAAATCCCATTCCTTATAAGGGGTTTAAAAATCCTCATACGCTACAATTGTGGAATAAATAATTTATCCAGGCTTCCTTAAAATAATACTTACGGTACATCGTTGATCAATGACGGTGTAGCACCAACTACGGGTGAACTCGCGGTACACGCCAGGGGGATAAGGTTGAGGCTCCACGATCCCAGCATTCCCTCGGTCCTCAATCCGAGTGCCACGTAACAAGAGCCCTGACTGGCTGCTGCTGACGGAGAAGTTGGCTTCTGCGCTGCGAGCGGTCAGGATCCGAGGAGGATTACATCTGTGCTATAAACATTCAGGAATCCGGGAGGCATGGGGGGATCGCAGAGTGTTGAGATACCCGGCGGAGGTTCCGAGGGTTACCACGTTCTCAGAGTATGCGATTTGCTTTATTCCAAAAGATAAGATCTGAAGCCTAGGAAGGGGGAAGTTTGCACGACCCCGTCCTCCACCGCAGTAGAAATAGGCAGAGCCACCAACCCGAGGCCCTGGATGTTGCTGCGGCCTAGTAGAAAAAGAGAGTAGCCCGGCGCCCAGGTCTTCATTTCACCACGTTATCGTTGAGGGTAATTTTGATTATTTAGTGAAAATAATACAGAGGGTTTAGAAGATGCACACTTATTTAATGGTCGTTATTAATTCCTTTGCACTGCTAATACTTTTTTGTGAGCTGTGCTCTATCTGAAACGTACGCAGCCATTAGAGAAATGATCCTTGCATATTTCTGTCATTCTGGAATACTGTCTGGTACATATAAATAAACTTCACAGGAACTATTGTGTACTTAGGCGTGCATTTTCGGAGAACTGTTCGTGTAATGCATATGATGGAGGATGTAATACCGTAGAGTGCAGTGGACGGGTCTAATGTCATAATGTACAACAAAATATATAAAAATCGAAGAAGGTACTTCAGTGTTTTTTTTTTTAATTGCGCGTGAATTTCTCACGCACCGTGTTTAAAGTCAGTCATCTGTTGACCGACATTCAACACCTGTAAAACCGGTCAATGAACGTGCTAAATAAAACTATTTTTAAGCATGCAAGAAGGTATCGGGAAAAGGCGTTTACGCCTCTAGTTGCTTTAGCTTTTAACCACTCATATGTAATCTCATCAGCTCTGTTTTTTATTTTGATTTCGAATTGGGATCTAATTGGTCGTATAGAGTCTCCCGAATTCTAGTAAAGGACTACGCAGCAAAAAAAAAAATGAGATTCAGTGAACTCAAGAAAATTCGTGATAGGATAATGTCGAAAAAATGTAACTGATAGTGACAAAAAATTGGTTTACTACTAAAAGCCTTTTCTTAAAGTTCTACATTTGCGCCCGTGAAATGAGAGAAAGTCAAAATAATTTGCTTGCTTTGCGACGAGTTGAGTGAGTTTTCTGGTACTGAGAACGGAGTGACGATGTGTACCCAATGTCAGTTTTGCCTTGTGGTGAAAAGAAGTTTGTAATGAAACATAGATACTGCTTCCAGGTGACAGCGTTTATAAGGAGACGGGAGTCTAGCAATTGTTTTCATGTAGCTTTTGTAATGGCTAGCTGTAACACATAGAAGAACACTGGGTGGGGTTTTTCCCAGTGGTCAAAAAGCACTCTGAGTAAAATAACCGCTTTTCATCTTTATTCATAAGCTCACTTAATCAAGGCCTATCCCGTTGTGTGTTAAACTGACATTGAAAATGAGTGTACTGTTGTGAAACTCATTTATTAGAGATGGTAGAGGTGATGTCTGGCATTAGTTTTGAGCACTTCAAATCTGTCATCAAATGTCAAATTACTCAGCATCCCTGTGCCTATTGTACACACAATGCTTGATGAAGGTGGGGTTAGCAACACAACTTGAAAATAGTGTCCCACGCTTTTGGTCAGTCTGTAGGTCTCACTCTCAAGTGTCTGTGAGAGAGAAGATTAAATGCAAACTTCATATGAAACCACCTGTATTTTGTGTAATTTAGCTTTTCTGTGTAAGTTCAAGCCAGATCCGCTGGTGTGTTTTTAGAAGAAAGTGTTTGCTCAGTTTCACCATCCAGGTTGTCTAGTTCTCTTTTCATATGAAGGCAAATGAGAGAGGACTAATATTGTATAGAGAGGAGGCAATACTCCCTGTAGAAGATACTGTATATGAATTTCTAACACCTTTAGAGCTCATAATGTGTACAGCCCATGATCACAGATGCCTCTGGGAACATGAAAGTTTCTTAGAGAAGCCTGATAAATGTATAACAGGTTGAGAACCGGTGTAAGATAAGATTCTTTTTCAGATAAGTAAGAACTTGTGAAATCAGCTGGTTGTTGTTTTTTTCCCAAATGTCCAGTGATATTTGCTAAAACAGGGCCTGTTTGAAGAGAAACAGTCATGTCTTTAGAGGTAGAATATCGAAGGTCCTGGATTTTAATTGGTTTATTCTTGTTCAGTGAGCACTGAGGTACCTGGGTCTATCCTGGCCCTAAAGACACTTAACTGAAAAGCCAAATAGTTGAAAATAAGCCAAGCCACTGTCTTTATGGAGCTGGAGTTAACAGAACCTTGGGCTGCTTGTATTTCCAAATAGAACCTGTTTAAATTATTTTCTGTTTCCCTGAATTAAAATTTTAAATAAAAGACACTTAAAAATCTCAAGATCTAAGTGTCCTATTGTAGTGCGGTTAGCTTAATAATTATGCTTTCTATATGATTTTATCATATTGAAATAGCTATGTCAAATTAATTGCTATGCATGCAAGACAAATGAAAAGTGAACCTAATTTGTATGCAATTTCTACTAATTAAAATAGCAATTTATTTTAGTAGAAAACTTTGTGATCAGAAAAATGTGTGATATGTAAGCTTTTTTTTACTTTTTAATGGGTACACAGGAAGTTTAACTTAATTTTATGATTGATATGTGGTTGCTGCTGCCGATATAGCCTACTTTCTGAAGATAATTATTGTGAAAATTAAAACAGTAGTCCTGGGTATGTAGTCCATTGAAGTTGTAGAAGACTTTTCACTAAGAATCTTACCATCTGAAGTGTTCGTTATAGCATTGTATTATTTTAAATTCTACTTTAAAGCACTGCGTTTCCTCCATATGCTAAAAATGAGTATTTTGATGCTTATACTCTTAAGACAGGCATTGAATGAGGCTTGTGTCTTGATAATAACCATGTAAAATACTCCAAAGGTTTCACCTGTCTACTAAAATGAATGTGCTTGCTATATGGGTGGGAAACTAATTATTTAACTATTATTTAATTTCATTGTAATGACTGTAAAGCTTTGAGGACATTAGAAATAGGGCACTTTGTTACCATTTTTCTGTTGTTCTTCAGGTGCAGGAGAATTCTCCAGGACACAGGGCAGGACTTGAACCATTCTTTGACTTCATTGTTTCCATTAATAATACAAGATTGGTAAGTTTGTACAACTGAGCCTTTACTCTCTTATGGAGTCCTCTTCAGTCTGCCTTTTCCTAGTGTTATTTTTCTGTTTTACATAGAGAAGTTGCTGTTGCCTAAATTAGTGTAATTGAGCTGTTAATTGTAATGCCTCCTTTACTGATTGTATAATAAATGTGAATTTGGACCATCTTTAGAGTTGATCTTAAACCTGTTAGGGCACCTGTGAGTTGCACCACAGTTGGCTCCATTCTGGCCTTGCAAAACCAGGAAGTCTAGCCTTTTAGTGTATAAAAAGATGATGGATAATCCTTGGTTTTTAAAAGTTTAGGTTTGGTCTTCTCCAAGTCAAGATAATGAAAGTAATCTTGGTGAACAGGGCTTGTAGGGTAGGCAGCTGTGGATATTACAGGTTTCTCCATGATTTGGCCATCTCAAGACAAACACCCCGGAGCCTTAACACATGACTCTAGGCTATTGCTGATAAGCCTACACTGCTGTTTCAAGTGACGATGTGACAGAGAGCATGAGCAGATAGCAGTGATTGTCACGACCCCTTTAAAACTCCAAGAAAACCATTAGCTGTGATCGATAATGGTGTCTGTTGGAGTAGAATAAGCTTTTACAGGCAAGTAAAGTTCTCTATCATATCGTTTCAACTAGAAAATAAGTTAGAACGAGGCAAAGGCCTTTATTTTTCAGTAGCGAGGCGGAATTTGTTTTACAGTCCCTAGAAATAGTTTTCTTCTCTGTAGAGTGAAGTTTCTAAAAATTGCACTTGTGAAGTTCAGTTGCAGAAATATCTTTAATTAGGTGAAAGTGCCCAAGGAGGCAGTAAAGATTTAGAGATTTGTCTGAACATTGACATTAGATCCTTGAACACTTTTTTGCATTTTGCATAAGTGTATTCTAATGAAAGTATTTATGCATTTTAATTAATTTGACTTTGCAAGCACTGTTTTAATGAGTGAGTTGTCTACTCTAGGTACTCTGCACATCCTGTTTTGCCTTTAACATTGGTCCAGGCCACAACACTGTGAACATCTCAGCAGATTTGTTTGCTTTAATGTACAAGAGACCAGTTCTGCTAGATGGATACTTTATTGATCCCGTGAGGGAAATTGCAGACTTTGTATAGACTTAATTGTATAGACTTAAATTTGAAGGGATATACTTTCCTCTGCTCCCAAAAATGAAAGGTTCAGAAAGGTAGTGTTTCACAGGTTTACTCAGCTTGTTTTTTAGGAAGACTTAAACATTCCAAATATTCATTTTAAATACATTCTTTACACGAAATTACACAAATTTCTGTTCAGAGTCTTTGCATCTTTTATAGAATGATAAATGCTCTGTAAGTAAGAAATGCAATTTCTTGTCAGTTACATATGAGAAGTTCAAGTGAGATGTTTACAGGTCGTGCTATATGGTTTCCATCAACGTTTTGCGTTGCTATGTTTTCAATGATTTTCTTGCAGAATAAAGACAATGACACTCTGAAAGATCTTCTGAAAGCGAATGTCGAGAAGCCGGTGAAAATGCTGGTATACAGCAGCAAGACGCTTGAACTGAGAGAGACCACAGTCACCCCCAGCAACATGTGGGGTGGGCAGGGCCTGCTCGGAGTCAGCATACGCTTCTGCAGCTTTGAGGGTGCCAATGAAAACGTCTGGCATGTGCTAGTAAGTATTCTGACTGGCGGTGAAGAACAGATTCCGACTTTTTGTCGACTCAGATGACATTTCAGGCAAACCAAGTTTCAGACATTACCAGCTGCTTCGTTGGTAAATTGACCAATAGTTGCTTTGGCTGATCTTTAGGCTCATTGATTGTTTAGCGATGTCTTAAGTCACGAACATGATAATTTCTCTGTGAAAAGAACAACTAATTTTTTTTTTCCGTGCCTTATTTTTGTTTCTGATGTGATTTAGTAGTGAGTAAATAATTTGAATGAATGATTTAATTAAATGAAATACATTGGGGTTACAAATGAGATTAGGACAGTCATCCAGTCATTTCTTGACAGAAGCTATTGTATGAGTTCCCCAATCCCATAACCAATTTCCTGTTTTTCCTTATAGTATCAGTTTGCTGAATCTGAATTAATAATTAAAAAGAATAAGATATAGGATGTTTTTAAAGAGAAGCATGCCAGGTCTATACCTTGGGTGTAGTGTCCTGAATTACTGGAAACCCAAAATTTTGCAAACTTACTATCACACTCCCTTTAGTGTTCATGTACTTGGAATTTTCACAAATGGGGAATTATTTCATAGATGTTATCTATAATTATTTTGGTTCACTGCACTCAATTTGGAGTTGAGAATGTGTTTACGTCTTGGCTTACAGTAAGAAACCCTGCATACACACATGGGGACAAAGAGGAAGTGTTCATTTTTTAACATGTTATAGGCCATTCAGACACATACAGAAGAGATGTGGTGTGTCCCTCCCACAGGGGACACCATGCTACTGGGAGTCAAGAGCCTAACTGACTTATCCCAAACCTCTCAGCATCTTGGAGATTCTCAGTCGGGCAGCTAGTGACATGATTCAGGCTTGACCCATGATGATGAATTGCTTAGCTCAATCTGTGCTCTGGCAAGAGTCCTTAAATGGCTGAACCACTCAGGCACCCCTGGAAAGTATATCATCAGATGCATAGATTAGTTGATGCAACCCAACCCTTCAACCAATTCTTAATGTGCCTTGTGTGTACAAGCGTCACTAGGTAATAAACATGGAATTTAAATATTGTGGGCATTGTAATATTATTAGAGTTGCAAGTAACTAACAGCACAAATGACAACAAAACTATACCTTGCAGTCATTATTTTATGTATTAAAATGCATATGAACATTAGAGGTTGTAAACGAGAGGTCATTTTGCTCACTTGATTATTGGTAGGTCATTGATGTCATTTTCTCTTAATATCTTTAATTTGTCCAATTTGTGTCTGTTGGGTTTATTTAAACAGTATAAGGTGTTAGCCCAACTCTCTGGCAGTTCTGTTTGGTGCTCAGTCATAGCTTTTCCTATAATTGTGGTCTCACAATATTTTCTATACTGGTATGATAATTTCTGATGTAATGCTCTTATTTTTTCACATATTTATAGGTTGTATATAATGAAATAATATGGATTATTATGTTCTGTTCACTAGCGATGTATGTACAGTTAATGTGTGTGTGGCAGTGGAGTTTGAAGAAAAGTGTTAATGTTAGGCACTGGGATCACTGAGGTTGTTCTCCCACTTTTTCAAAATCCTGCCTCAAAACAAAACTCAAAATAGGACTCATGATAGTCTAATGTGCAAGATATTTGGACTCCAGCCTTGATCAAACGAACCGCGTCATGGGCTAATTGCACCATCTGTTTAATTTACTGTTGTTGCTTATAAATATTTGGCCGTTATCAGCCTGCATCCAGCTTTGAGGAAGAAAAACATAGCTTGCCTATAAATCGGCATGCTTCGCGTTGGATAAAAATGTCTTCGCCACTCTTTGTATTCTACCATAACTGCTTGAGACAAAACTTGGGTACTTTACGTTCTCTAAAGTTTTCTTTTTTTGTTACCAGGAAGTGGAGCCAAATTCCCCTGCTGCCCTAGCAGGCCTGCGACCTCACACTGATTATATTATCGGGGCAGACACTGTGATGAATGAGGTGCGAAGCAAGTGTTGGAAGACATTTTAGTTTTTTTTTTTTGTCTGTTGTGTGTACATATGTGTTTGAATGGTACTAGACTCAAGTGAGCATTGGTGTCACCCTCCATGTTTAGAAGTTTTGGTCACATATTGACATAAAAAGAGTGTTACACTATACATGTTGGATTTGAAATGAAAATGCTCAGTCATCCTAGCAAGAGGCCTTACATTTCTCATCCAGATTTGGATTTGAATATATATTTATTCCTACAGAAATCTGTAGAAGGCCATTTCCATTATGAGGTGAAGCTGCTCACAGAAGTTGTTGAATTGCAGTAGTTTGCACTATGGAGAAACTTGCAGCTCAATGTAAAAGATCCTCTTCATGAAGGGAATTCTTCATTTTAGAAGGCAAATGCCTTCAGTTTAGCTTTTTCTATTTCAACCCATATTTTAAGTTTAATTTAAAAAAATCCTATCAGTTAAATTCACGAATAAGGATATGATGTTATAATTGGCGTGATATACAGTAGCTGTACTAGGCTGGGTTTTTACCTTTGTTTTTTTATGTGGATTCCTTTCTTGTAGTCTGAAGATCTATTCTCGCTCATTGAATCGCATGAAGGAAAAGGCCTGAAACTATACGTATATAACACCGACACGGACAATTGTCGAGAAGTGGTCATTACACCAAACACAGCGTGGGGTGGAGAGGGAAGGTACAAGATACTTTTTTTACCTCAAAGTAAGTGCAAGGAAGAAATAATGAGGAGATGATAAACATGTAAATTTTCTTTTTTTTAAAGCTTAGGCTGTGGCATTGGCTATGGCTATTTACATAGGATACCCACACGTCCATTTGAAGAGGGAAAGAAGATCAGTTTTCCTGGCCAGATACCTAGTGCACCTGTCAGTCCACTTAAAGATGGCTTTACGGAGGTAAGACCTTCTGCCTTACCGGGAGATTACAAATGTAAACGGACTCCAGGCTCTCAAAAGAAGACTCTCCTGTCTTAAGTTCTGATTTAATATATTAATTGATATTCTACGTGGCGATGAGAACAATCCTGCCATCCTGCTAATGCATTGAAGCTAAGAGATAATGATGTGTTGCAAGGCACATTAAAAGATGCGCCATTTAATGTACATAAATTGTTAATATCCAGATTTTCTTCAAGACATTTTTCATGGGATTCAAGTCGTTTATGATAATTTTCTGGTTTCTCCTGCACAATGAAGATAGCACTGCATACTGTTTTTATAAGGAGGGTAGTTACAAGACTCGTTCCAATGCAGGTTGCACAGAAAACCATGACTCGAAAACAAGATATTAATTACACCGCTTCATTTGATGTTGATGACCTTTGCCATTTATCATCAAAATCCACGTCTATCTTAGGTGCAGCTTTCTGCTGTGAGTCCACCCCCTGCTGTGTCCTCCGCTCCTGCTGGATTGGAGCAGGGAATGGCAGGCTTGTCCATCAGTCCGGCTCCCTCTGCTGTTCCAAACGTACTCCATACAGGTAACTATGGAAGACATAGCTTCTAATTTGTTGTTGAGAAAGATCTCATTGACCTTGGAACATGTTTTTTTTTATTTTTTCACGTGGATTGCTTTGACTGCTGTAGTTCTTTGTAAGGACGGCACAATGATACAGGTGGTCAGCATGGCCGTCCAATGACGGGTATTCTGGAGTTTATTTTGTCTGGATGGTCCTTCTGTGGGGAGTTTGCAAGTTCTTCCATATGCTTTGATTTCCTCTTACAATGCAAATACGTCCTGTTCAGGTTAATTGGTGTCTCTAAACTGTCCCACCCCCTTTGCGTGTGTGAATGAATGTATGTGCTCTACGACAGACTGGTATCCAGTCCAGGGTGTGATTCCGTGTCATGGTGCCACGGTTGCCCACTGCAACTCTTTAAGGGTGATTTAAGTGCTGAAAATGGATGTGTGAATGGCTGCTCTTTGCATCTTAAAGGTCACCATACAAAGCGTTCTAACCGATTTTGAAAAATTGTGAAATGCCTGAAGTACAAGAACTTGATGATGATGGTGCTATCGCATATCTTGCCTTCTCATGAGGTGTTGTAACTACCCCTAAACGAATGTGGGTCCCTTGAGCCAATCAAGAAATTGATCTAGCTATCGTCTATTGTGAAATGTAGTTTCAAGTACAGTTTTCACATAAAATAAAATGCTGATATCCGCTGCTCTAAAATGTATTAGTAAAAAAGTGTTTTAGAAGATGTCATTTCTGACAAGTCTAATTTGCAGTTTTCATCAATGGGTATTTAACTGTCTGCTGTTACGGGGTCTTATTAATTTTCTTTATGCTAGCAAAGCACTCTGAACCTATATTCAAGGCTGATGTATGGCAGAGGAAACCTTAGTAAACAAAATAATCCTTTGAAGTTGTTGCCTTGCTGTTGGCGCTATCTGTGGACATAGGTATATATAAAATGCTTAGTCATTTTAGTAGGAAGTTGGATTTGCATAATATAGCAAAATTCATGGGGTCTGACTCTTTATTTGTTGTTTTGTCATGTTCTTTGCCTATAGGTTTGGTTCGCTAAAAGCTTTGCATTTTGAAAGTTCTAGATGACATCATGTCATCGCTATGTTTTCAAAATGACAGCAGATGTTTCACTGTTTTCTTCTTCAAGGAGTCCCAACTGTTCCACTGTTGCCTCCTCAAACCAGTGTCTCCGGGAGTGCAGTGCCATCAGTTAATCCAGCTGCCACATTACCTGGTGAGTTTGTATTTTAAAGTTGGTATTATAGGAGCTTAAACTTTTTAGGCATTCTCTTTTCAAGAAATTAAATTAATAAGATGATCTCGTTTTCAGCGGGAACACTTTCATTGTGCAGACATCCATTTGCTATCCTCTTTATCCAATGATTTCATTTTCTTGTACTTGCAGGTTTGATACCCTTACCAGCAGGTCTACAGACGATACCCAATTTGTCAAACTTGAATATCACTCTACCAAACTTGACTCCAGTGTCCTTACCAGGAGTCTCTGGTGGCAATCCTCCAACAACAGGTAGGTTTAAAAACCGAGGCTCGAATACACCTTTTAAACCTTTCAGTTTAGTTTTAATGTTGGTGTTACTGTTTGAGTTATTCAGATAATAAAGATTCTGTATACATTGAGTGACTAAAATGATGATAAAGGTTATTTATATTTTACAAACAGTATGACTATATACAGATACCCACATTTCAGGGAAACAATCCCCTAGAGTAATACCAGCAGTGACAGGAAGAATATTGAAAAAAACTATTTGACATCAGGTGTCAAGATCTGATTACGCAATGTCTGTTTAGAGCTCACGCTGTATCAGAAGTCTTCCATTTTTTATTTGTTTTTTTAACTTAATTTTGTGCATTATATAAGTTTTAAATTTGGCAGCAGCAAGTGACAGGAAAAAATGAGTGAGGAAACTCATTAGAGCTTTTCATATAGTCATTTACAGGATGAAAGCTTCTGTTAGAAATACCAAATACGTCAGTGAAAAGTACCCATGGTTCATTAAGTGCATCAGGAAACCTCCTCTCCAGCTGTAGTTTTCATAGAGAATGGAGGACATGAGCTGCTTTTATTTTTCAAGAGGGGTTTCAGAGTTTATAGAGATGACTTCTGAAGACATGGTTCAGGGAAACTGCTGTTCTTTTTCCCAAAGCTAAATTTAATATAACTACACTTTTTACTGCTTTCAATCTTCTTCAGCTGCAGTACATACAAAAGATAAGCTAGTTTATGCAAAAAATAGATTTTATAATGGCATATTGAAATGTACCATATTGTCTTTTCAGAAACACTACTTGTTACTCAGCAATGTTTTGATCTGTAAAATGGTCGTCAGATTTTATCATGTACTACTCCCTTGAAAATTAATGAACATAAGTTCAAGTATTTATCTAAAATGTTTCAGATTGATACAAATGCATTTTCTAATTGTAATTTCACCTTCATATTCTAAAACTGCAGGGCTCTTTTGACAAACTGCAGCTTGCTTCAACAGTTGAATATCACCTGTATTCTGAGTATCGTGAGGATGTCTCAAGGAAGTAAACTATAAGGCCTTTTGTGTTAAGGATCTCACATGTACTTGTACATTGATTTTTAGCAGAAACCCTTAATCTGATGCTTTGGTGAAAAATGTTAAAATGTACAATTGGATGCTTTGGTAGAATAGGAAATATTTTTCTTCTTTATTGAGGTTGTATTCAGCCAATGTTTAAATTGGATTTTGGGAGCACTAGTTCACACCTAAGATGGCATGGTGGCACAATGGTTAGCATTGCTGGCTCGCAGCGCTGGGGCTCTGGGTTCAATTCCTGGGGTGCTATCTGCGTGGAGTTTGTATGTTCTCCCCGTGTCCGTGTGAAATTTCCTTTTGGTGCTCCAGTTTCCTCCCACAGTTCTAAAAACATACTGGTAGGGTCAATTGACTTCTGGTAAGGTTGGCCCTGGTATGAGTGCATATGTATGTCTGTCTGCCCTGCAATGGACTGGCATCCTGTCCAGGGTTTATCCTGCATTGTGTCCATTGCATGGGACGGACAGACTCTGGCTCCCCCATGACCTTGTGTTGAAAATGGGTATGTTAGTTCCAAAAGTGATTTTACTGTGATCATTTTATTTGATAGGCAAGGTAATGTGTGTACATTGTGATCGTCCCAGTGTGTGTTGTGCATTATGCTGTGCTTGTTTATTTTTGCAATGGAAGGTGCAATAAATGAACTCATCCCTGTCTCCACAATATCTTTTTTTTTTTTTTATAGGATTTGCACCACTCGCTCAACTGCCACCAATAAACCTGCCTGGAATAGCTTCCCTTCCAATGCCTACTGTATTTCCGACTCAGTTGCCCCTGGTCCCAGGTGTAACACCCCTTCCCTCTGACTTCATCCCCCCTATGGTTTCTATTTCTGCTACTGCAGCAGCCACAGTAGAACAAACTCCAGCCCTCATCTTGGACGCAACCTCAGTTTCCAAGACCCCAGTTAGTGCAGCAATGACAGAGACATCGGTAACCAGTGAAATGCACTCTTCTGAGACTACAGACGCACAAGTTTCTTCTGAGTCCTCCTAACGATAAGCGCCACACAGGGCCGGGTTGTGTTTATTTATTTAGCCACAAGCGAGATCCTGAAACTCTCAAGATTGTACAGTGTAAGAGCAGCCAGATGGGATTTGGATTCATCTCATAAATTGTGGAGAGAGTAAGAATGGCTAAGATCCAAAAGGTAAAATGAAAGATAATGAATGCACAAGTATGTTCAAGGAAGCCTCCAGCATATGTTCCTATACAGCATAGATGTAGGTATATATTTCCTCACAGATTTATTTTAATTTTATCTTTTCCATTCTACCCCTAAGACTGTTCCATTCTTTAACAATATTTTGGTGAAAGATTGCTGTCTGGTGGTAATATACACATTTATTTTGTTCAAATGGATCGTAAAAGTTTTATTGCTTTTTTGCTTTTCCAACATGGTTTTTATTATTTGGCATGTACATCATGTATCTCCATGTACAGTTCAATTTCAGTCTGTCTTTTTATTCAATAAAAACAAGACCATCGTTTCCTGTAGCTGCTGTGTTTCAGCAATCCAGTGTGAATTGGTTTGGAAGAGTAGAAAACGAAACAAAACTGCTGTATAGGTTGAAGCCAGAAGGTGGCACTGTAAGGCTACCGGTCATAAAAATAAAAAAATGTTCACATACTCAAGCAATAAAATAATGGAATTTTACATTGTACCTGTTCAGCATTCATATTTCAGTTTAACTTTATTTCTGTTCTGGTTTTGATTATATGGTTGACTATACAACTTCTTGAGTCCACTGGGTATCTTTAACATTTTAAAAATCTTTCTGTGCTGAGAGGATATTTAATGGTTTTATATCAAGTGATGTGAGCAGTCTTAGGCCACACATATGTAGCCAGTTACACTAAATTAATTATATAACATTTTTTAGATTTATTTTAGGATATTTTATTCTTCATTTTAAAAGTTACATCTTTTTTGCATTTTTTTGATGGAGTAAGAGTGAAGAATAATGAAGTGAAGTTGATTCTTTTCATCTGAATTCCATTTTTTTTCTGGTTGTTACCTGCTGTCCACAAGCACAAAGCTGTTTCTGATATCTGCTGCATTCTAATGTTTTTAATAGGACTTGAAATGTAACCAAGAGGAAGTTAGATGGTAAGCATGCCAGTCTTCCACTCATGGTTTTTCAGAAAACAATTTTTTGGGGATACATCTTTGCAGCTTTCAGGACGCCTCCTGGAACATTATTCTTAAGAAGCTCTGTGTGGTAAGTATTCAGAAGAGTTTCTTACTGAGCCTAGATTAATAAGAGCTGACAAAAGACTCAAGGAACAAAGTGGTGTTCTGCAACTTGTGCTCAACCGATTCCATTGTTCTTGGAATACATTCAAATAAGAGGTACGGATGTCGCACGTTGTGACATTAGATACTAGAAAATAAGAGCAGCGAATACATTTCCAAGGCGGGGTTATTTTTTTTCTACTGATGCTTCCTCTCTTGTCCAGTTTACCTACAGCCTTGTAGTTTTAACGGGCAGAATCTGTCCTGGCTTTTACTAGTAATGATTCAGTCTCGTAAAATTTAATTGTAAAGATAAATCGCCCTGCAAATAACTGCGTCCTGGCAGAAATCGTATCTTAATTTAGTCAATTCCATTTAGCCAATTGTGCGATGTATCAATGTTCTTATTTTAAAATTAAGCATGCAAGTTGAAATTTCCTGGATGCTTTGAAAGCATCACAAATTAGTTGAGAAAGTGATCAACTGAGCTGCACTTGCAGATGTTTAAGTTCGCGAGGCCTTTAATATTTAAACCCCATTGGGGTTTATAAAATGGTTTTACAAAAATATGTACTAGGTTAAAAAGATGGGATGATCCTTTCGGTTCTTAAATATCAACAACTGCGGTCTAAATGTTTTGCTTTTTCCATCTGTATTCGACCTGTAATCCACCCGTATTACTGCACTTTCACTGGGAAGGCAAAACGTGTTTTGATATGTGTATTATACCTGTGTCAATCAAGTCGGTATTCAGTTAAATACAAAATATACAGTACTTCTAAATACCTCAATTCGCCTGTACTAAATTCTTCATACAACAGGTGTATGGTGGTTCCCTCCCTTTCGGATAATGATACTAGTACTGCTAGCAGGACAGAGTCCGGACGCTTTAAAATATGGCCGACAAGTGCAGTTGTAACTGCCCGCTTAAGTCAGCGTTAACTCCAAGACGATTACCTGAGCGAGAAAAACACCCTTTCCCTTTCGAAACATCGACTGAAATGTCTCATCATGGACCCTGCGAATGGAGAAAATCGCTAGATACGGAGGAAAACATCACCCAAAACAAACGCACAAGTAGAAAAGCGCTTGTGCTTTCTTGGCTCACGTCACATGGAATCATCAACTTCGTTTTAGTTTTATGTAATTTACGAGAAGCTATTGTTGCGAAGCAATGTTTTTTCAAAAAAAAATGTATTAAAATAATATAGTAGTACAGAATAGATCCCTATTTATATATAACATCTAATATTAAACACCTTTCTCTCTGAATGCTTCCTTTTAAATCTTCATTTAAAAATGCAGTTATTTGTTGCTGCAAGTAAGCGAGACGTTATTTTAGATTTTATTTATATCATGTGATTTCTGCGCGGATTTATAAGAATGTTAAGCAAATAAACATAAAATAACTTATCCTCGTGAAAAACGTAGCAATGAATGAAGTACGTCGTTTTTTTCCCGATAGCTGCAATAGGTCTTAACGCTGAGCATACCTTACTGGTAGCGCACACGTAGGTTAGGAGAGGAGACCATCTGGTAAACAATTGATCCAAAGATCTCGTCCAGAGGTTTCCTAGAAAGAAGACACAGTGTTGGCTTTACTTAACTAAACTGGGTGCAGGGTAGCTTGTTCCACACCCCAAAAGCCCTTTGGGTAACGGTTTGTTTCACTGTTTACCCTGAAGCAGTCCATTGACTAGGGAAATAAGGTATGACAGGTGAAATACCACTGGCAAAAACAGAGAGGATAGAATGAGAAAAGAGATATTGCTAGGAAATGCTGGGAGTATAATCTTGATGATCTCCCTGTTTAATATAATATTCATAACTTAATGAAACAATACATTAGCGGTTGCTGACCCTGGTGCTGCACAGTTACCATACAGCAGGCCTTATCGCACTTTTATTGTCATTGTTAATTCTCTCTCTTACTCCATAAGCCACAGCTACGCACATTTGTACCAGCTGGGCATTCCACGGAAGCTATCGCAGTGGAGTTAATGGAGACTTAACGGTAAAAGAGCAGTGCCCCACCTCAGATTTGAACATACAGTACAACTTTCCAGTTGTGAGTCTAGAGTCCCTGATTATGTCTAAGTTTTGATGAAAATCGTAAATGTATTACCTGTAGTTCAACTAAGCCTACTATACATGTAGTGCTCTCTTCAAAATTAATTGAAGAGATTACTTGGCATAAGTGGTAAAAATGAAATCCTTCCTAATCTTTAGAAATTTAGGAGTTTAAGAGGGAATGAAGAAGCCTACTGGATTATCTCTCCAGGAACAGCATTGCCCACATTGCCCTTAGAGCAGGCCTGAAGTCCAAGTCATGCAGAATGCATTGGTTTATTTTTTGGGTGGTACTATGCAGGTCAGAAGTTGTTCATTCAATTTATTCAATTGACTCACTTAATTAAAATAAAATAATACCTAAATCAAATAATTCAATTACTTCCACAGTCATTTACAATAGTTAACCTGAAGGACAGTTACACAAAAAAAATCAATTGTAGCTAGCAGAAAATGAGCAACAATTAGATGTTTGCTATTTTTGAATTTCTGCTACTAGAATCAATGTTTTTTCCTCACACAATGATGGCTTCCAGTTTTGTACTTTTGAAGTATTCTGTTTTAGACATCTTTTTATATACCCATCATAACCATCATTGTCAATACTCCTAGGAGTTTTCACATAACCAATCTCCATTTATTATGTGCAAAATGAGTCTGATGTATCCAGTTAAGTATTTTATACAGTTATTATCTTGTTATATATTACTGTGTGTTTTCAGGCGGTGGCTCTGAAGCAGATGGTCTGGAAGAAAATAAGGAGATAGCTTCGAAGGCAGTTCAGTTTGTCATACGTGCTGTGAGAAAAGGAGCTGTTCCCTTGTGCTCTAGTATCGCCGAACTGCTCCGCAAGATTCAGCGGTAAGATTTAACATCGAGCACCCCGAGAGCTGTGTTGTAAAGAGAGAATGTCAGTACATGCCATTCACAGGTCAAAGGTCGTCGCATGACTGCAGCAGAACAGATTTCTCTATGTGGTCACAGACTGTAGTTGATCTTTCCTCTCTGCAAGAGAGACAAATGGACTTCCCCAGGCCTAAAGTGCCTTTTCAGGAAAGCAGGGTCACAAGCTGCATGAGGAGAGTTGCAACACATGGGTAGATGATCTGCTGAGTCAAGGCTGGTCATTACTGGTGAAAGATTAGCACTGCTGCTTCTTAAATGTGCAAACAGTACACACATAGTTAAAAGTACTGAAGTTTTATTTGATTATTTTAAGTTGGTACCTTGGGATTTTTTTTGTGTATGGTATTTCTCTTCTTAATATCTCATTTTTGCATCCTGATCAAATCAGCAGATTATCTGGAATTATTGTGCTCCAGGAATATTTTCTTCAATATCTTTGTGATGTCCTTTACAACAAAGGCTTTTGAACCCTGTTCCTGCATAGTTTGTCTCATATACTGTTTGTCACTCTGGATTCCTCTTTTTTAGGGAACACTTGGGCATGATCAATTTGTTCACAATCCAAATTAAATGCCTGTGATCCACCCTGTCTGTTTTGATAACTAATTGGTAACCGGTAAAGCCAAAACACTGCAAAGACGCATGTAAAAATGAGGACTGTATTTGAACTTAATGTCTCTGCTAAGGAAATTCCTGCCTTGTGAAGCTGTTGTCATAATGTTTAGTGGCTTAGTTATTGTTTAAAACTAGGATTGAGTAGACAGACACAAGTTACTTGTTTGAATGGACCTAATTCGTGTTTTAAGAAATGTAATAAATGATCTTAATCTTTTCTTGGACCCAAATGTTAAATTGAGAAGCCTGAACAAAAAAGCATTATTCCTCAAAGATCACAATACAAACATTTCTAATATAACTCATGCTAGTACCTTCTATAAACTTTTCATACTCAACGCATTGTGCAAAGTTATCACCATGCATATCATATTTATAGTTAATGAGCAAAAAATATGTATATGATATGCACGTTATAGGCAACGGATATCAGAAGATTGTACACACCATGTTTTGTCACAGATAATTTTATTCGGAATCACTGTGAATGCTTTTTATCATTCTTTTCTTTCAAGCTGTGCTGAAGTTATACAGATGTTTCTTATACGTACAGCAAATCCAAGCTGTAATTGCATTGAAGTATGAATATGCCTGCCTTTTCTTGGGGACCTGATTGTGAGCAAGTTTGTACTGATTACGAGCTGTTATCTTGAACCTGCGGCAAACTTTCAGAGTTATTATTGGAATTTTCCTGAAGGCTTGAATGATAGAAAAACAAGAGAGAGGCAAATGCAATCTAAATGAAACAATGTTGGTCTTGTTCCCCGAAGGAAAAGTCTCCTTCAAAACATTTTTGATGTTTGAGTGTGTTGGTGCTTAAATGAGACTGCAGAGATGTGCCTAATGTTGCTAGACAAGTTGTAAAGATACAGTCAGTGATAAGAACTTTCTCCTACTTCAGTTAGTGTTTTTCTAATCACTCTGACAACTGTGAGCTGGTGCCGCCTCCTACTGTGCTCTGCTACTGAACATTAACTCCCCTTCCATGTCAATTTAATTGGAAACGAAAAAAACAAATTAACATTTCAGACTAGCAACAATCAGATGTGTCTTCACTTAGATGTTCAGAAGCCTTAATGGTTGAACATGTCGATTATTAGTTTTCTATGTCCTTGGCAGTTTTGTACTCAGCATGTTAAGGAGCCATAAAAACAAGTAAAGCTTTTCCCTTGTAGGGAGAGGGGATTATTAACTTTAGCATTGGGTTAATTCTTCAGAAGGGAAGAGAATGATCAAAACCAAGGTTTTGGGTGAAGAGGAACTTTTAAAAACTAGTTAAAACTACAGAGTCGTGGGGGAGCCCTAGCCTATCCCAGAAAGCAGCGGACAAACGACAGGGCCCTCACACACTTTCACATCGGGGGCAATTTCCCTGATGCCAGTTACCATTCCAGTATGTCTTTGGACTCTGGGAAGAAACTCGCACGAACATGGGGAGAACATGCAAGGTCCAGAGGCATAGCACCTGAATTCTGGAATTGAACCCAAGGCCACTAGGAGGCAGCTATGGCTAACCACTGAGCTGCTGTGCCGACCCTAGATAAAATCAAACAAAAGTAAATGTGCGTTAACATTCTGCTTTTATGTTAATCTCAGTCTTACGGAACTAAATTGTGGCCGTCCATGTCTTCCTGTTTCCCCAGGGGATAAAAATGAGGTAACACGCATGTCTTTGAATTCCCTTGACATCCATCACCATGGGGAAAGGCAAAGAACTCACAAATGAAAAGACCTCATAAGTCGGGAAATGGATACAAAAAGGAACAGAAAATAGATACAATATACTGCTTGACCAATTTGGTCAATAACTGAGAAGCTCAAAACCATTGGACCAGTGGTAAACGTGCCCGGTAGAAGAAACACAGTGTGGAGGATAGTTCTTCAGGCAAAGAAAAACCCAAGGGCCACAGCTAGAGAATTACACAACTTGGTTGCATCTTGGGGTCACCAAGTCTCCAGATCTACAATTAGATGCTAGCTCCTTTACAACAGGCTGATTGTAAGGGTTGCTAGAAATAAATCCTCTGAGACTTACCAATAAACTTAAAAGCCGATGCCTTTTAGCAAACTCCAACCACTTTGATGGGAACCTGGTGTTGTGGTGAGATTAAATATTTCTTTGGTCAATGCCATCACAGGGATAAGATTAGCATGAAAAGCAGGATGTATAGGCAGAAAAAAACATCACACCTGCTGTAAAATATGGTGGCAAATCTGGGATGTTTGTGGGGTCGTATTGCTTCAGTTGGTCCTGGAACCCTTGTCGGAGTAATCAAGATAATAATAATAATAATAATAA